GACGTATGACATTCTATCCCTCCGCCTCCCCGCCCCCTCCGCTCTCTGCATACATCGGCGCGTCGCGATCCAGCGAGCATCGCGTACATCGCGCGCGCTCTCCTCGATATATTTTTATTTTATTTATTTGTTGTCACGTACTCGTGGTGATGTAACGCGAAGACAGACATTGCTTGCTTTTATTTGTTGCTCGCGTTGTGACACGCGGCGCTTTGACAACGCTGCGGCTGCCCTTGTCCCTTGTCCTCATCGATCATATGCTGTTTGAACTATCCGCCTAAAACTATGTATATCGTTGAGGGATGTCGGCGAACTGGCGTGCACATGAGGCAAGCTCCGAACGCTACGTTGCATACATTAAAGTGTTTAACTGTAATGTAATGTAATGTTTAACTTTAGTGCTGGCCAGGAAGCTTTAGATACAGACACTGTGTTTAAATGTATTGTTTAACACTCTTAAGTATGCAAACTTGCTATGGCAAATAAAATGCGATACATAAGAAAAAAATTACTGGAAACAACTTTTTATCTTAAAAAAAATGCAAATAACATACTTTGTGAAAAATTGTCGTACCGGGTACAGGAGAATTTTCTATTCAAGATGTCGTTCAATTACAATTTAAAATTTCAAGTTTCGACTTGGAATCGAAGGACGAACTAGATTGGGAGGTTGTACTACATGAACGACACATTTTGTAATTGGTAAATTACAAAACTATTTTACATGTCCGAACATATGTTTTACAGTGTAACTTCGATTACTGACTAAAAATTTAGCTTTTACTCCCGTTACATGGAAGGTATCGTTGAGATACTGTATACAACTTCACAGTTGGGTTTACTGAGATATAGACACGGCACAATAAAATTCATAGATGTGCAAGTTTTACGGCTTACTGTAAAAAGATATACAGTCAGGCAAGTCAAGTCTTTAAAAATATAAACAGAAATATACCGTTGTAAACTGCTGGATGACTAGAGTGCAGTTTTATATTTCCACTTTAGAAGTAGAGCTCAAAATTGAATGTTGTTTTCAAGTTATTTTTTTCTGTGCAGCGACGGACTCAGTGAAATATTCGGCGCAACGCTGGCTCCTCGGCTGGCGAGCTCTGAAATCAATGATGTTCCGTCAAGCGGTCCCATCCGGCTATTTCAGGAAGCGAGAAAGGGAGGGGGCAACTGCAGGAAAAGAGGAGGGGAGTAGAGGGAAGGGGGGTAGAGATGGTTTGGTCCGGGAGTGCAGTGAACCTGAAGGTCGCTCGACGCCGCGAAGACGCCGAAGCGTCAAGCTTCCCGACGCCTCGCCGACGCCACGCTACGCCACTGCGACGCTGAGCGACGCCAACTGGTGCGAGTGGCGACGCTCGGCTGCAACGCACCATTGTCGCCGTGAGAGACTTTGCCCCGCGGCCAAAGTTACTTAACAAAACATTTGGTAATGTGTATTCTTTTATTTTAGTTTTGTGAAAATTCTTTGCGGGCGTTATTATTACTTTCGGAAAGTGAGTGGGAGCGGCGTCGGCGCAGGAGCGCGCGGGGAGTGAATCGGAGCGGCCGGCTGGCTGTTACGGTGTAACGATATATTACAATACGGGCCGTAACGGTTTATTTAAATTGAAAATGAACGAACCTGCTGGCGGTGCTGGTTGCGCTGCCGCCGCCGCCGTACGAGCAGCACCCCAACAACTACTAAAAGGCGAATCCCTTTTCATTCAAACGGCCCATCATTTCAATGCATAAATCACCGGGGTGTCCCATAAGTCGTTATGCCGGCAAATCATGCGCGGAGAGAGAGATGGCTGGCAGCGGGAGCCGGCGCGCGAGGGGCCGGCGCTATTCGCACGGCGCGTGTGCTCTATTTTATCGCTATTTGCAGTCTGCGTGTGTTCCGCCGGTCCGGCCTGGAGGAAATACTACCCACTCGGTTCAGTCGCTGCTGGATGCGCTAAGTAGTGGCGCCTGCAGCTGCGCAGGTGCGGCTTTTGTTTGAATGCCGTCCTTGATCCAGTGTACTGTAGCAGTATCGATGCGATTAGTTGGTTTGCGCCCTTGTTGAATAACTTATACGTAGGGCTACTTTTACTGACACACGCCAAATACTTTTACTGCAACATTTTACACAACATTTTTTTTTCCTTTAATGCGTTGAGCGGCCAACCAGCCACGGCAGGCCTCCTGCGCCTCCCTCCTGGCTAGCCGCTGGCTGGCCGGCTGCGCTGGGCGCTTAGGCCCTTAGCGGCGCGCTGCACGCTCACTGGTGTGAGACGACAGCTTAGACCGTTAATAGAAAAGAACAACGGAAGCGTTTAGCGATGTGTATTTGCCGTTATCAGCGACGCTGCCTGCCGATAATGTTGTTGGCATTTGTTCGCAATTTTCTTTGCGTTTATTGGTTTTCGCCGCCGCATGCCCCATCCTCCTCAGACAATAGCTTTATTCGCTAATCCTTTCCCGCAAAGTAAGAGAGAAAGAAAATGATTACCCTCAGAGCAAACTTTTTTTAGTTTAGTTTTTCCATGTAATGAGAAACCTCTCCAAACCTGTAATCTTCCTCTACCACACCTGTTGCCTCTAAAAATAAACTGTATATCCATGTATGAAATTTCCTCAAATTATACACATCGTCCACTGCGCACTCGTCCGCCGGGCCGAAGTGCACACCGACAGACTGAACTCGTAAAAGGCGTTTGATCGCTTAGCGGGTCGGGCGGCCTGCAGCGGCTCACTAGGCTGCTCCTGGAATTAATACGCCTTCCGTTAATTTGTCCGCAAGGAAATATTCTCCCTCCCCTCCGCCTCTGCTGCGTCCCCCCCCCCCCTTCCCCCCCCTGAAGCCCCAACAGGTTTGCGACGCGAAGCCGGTCGGCAGCGTGGCTTGCCCGTCTAGCGGCGACCGTCTTTGCGCTGGAAATAGATGCCCAGCCGGACTTATTGTCGGAACGAATCAATAAAGTGATCGCCCGAGTTATGTGTGTGTCCCCGGCGGGCCGGGCCGGGCAGAGCCACGCTGAGCCGAGCGGAGCCGAGTTCAGTCCGCCCGAAGGCGTTGCGATTTCTCTTTACAGTTACCCCGGTGCTTTCTGGTGACCCACGCACGGCGCGGTGCTCGGGCTTGGCCCCACCTCCGCATCCTCGCCGTCATCGCCGAGTGGAGCCCCCCTGGGGGGCGCTGGGCTGATTTAGAAAAAGGGGTTTCGCGCGACCGCACGTCGAAAACGCGAAACCGCAAACGATCGGCGCTGCTCGGCGCGGTGGCGGGGGCCGGGCGCTGACTCACACATTATATAGATGTAGAGTCATTTAGCAGCGGCCCACGCGCTTCTAGAGCTGGCAGAGGGCGGGCGGGCCGCGCCGGGCAACGAGGCCCCTGCTTAGCGCGGCCCAACGCACCTCAAATCCGGCCGGCATCGGCTAAACGATCATCATTTCTGCAAGACCTTTTTATTTTACCTTTTGAATATATTTTTTCCTCTTTTTGCTTTTGAATAAGCCCCTTCGTTTTCGGGTGCCGCTTGCATATTGCTTTTGACGAGGAAACGAGATTAAGGTTATCAGCATATCGGCCGGAGAGCGAGAAGGAGTCGGAGATGCTCCTGCCGCTGCGCCTGCTCGGGGATCTTGTTCGATGTGATCCTTTAGCGGTTTGGTTTAGCATCGCATCGCGCGGTCCACGACTTGGCTCGCCGCTCCGCCGCGCCGCGCCAGCGCTCACCTGCCTGCCCGTCCGCAGCCCATCCGATCCGCACGCAAACCAGTGGCATCGCGCCGCTCCCGAGCCCGCCTCGCCTCGCCTCGCCACGCCGCCACTCTCACGAGCATTTTTCCTCGTACGACGGTGCGCCTCGTAAAGGAGATCCCCCCGGGACGGCCTGCTACCCTGAGCCGCAAACTGCACGTCGCCGTTTTATAAAAATCGCACAAACACAGCACTTCCGCGTCGGAGCAGCGACCGGCTGAAGCTGGCTGTACCTCGCGGAGAAAAGAGCGGCGACTTGTTTTTCTCGCCGTAAATTTTTTTTCCTTCTCTCCATTTCATGCCGCCTCCGGTTCGCCCAAGCGACCGACCGACCGACCGACAGAGCGGCCGGTCAAGCCTCCCCGCGGACGTGTTTGCAGAGCGAGGAACGGGTTCGGCGGCCCGGTCGCGCGGCGGGGCGGGGCCGGTGCGTTGGTGGACGGGGCGCCTGGCTGTGGGTCTGGGTCGGGGTCCCGGATGGTCCCGGCCTGCCATCGGGTCAAGGTCTCACAAGGCTGAGCCGCGCGCAGGGCTTTGGGCCGCGGGGTCAATGCCTGCCGACGCCTGCAGCGTCACCCTCGCTTAGGCCCTTCGTTAAATAACGGGCCTGGACCCTGTACGCTACTCGACGCCGCGCGGCGCTTCCGGGGCCCCTAGTGGTGGTGGCGGCGGCGGCAGCCTCTGCGGCAGCCTTAGCACGGCCCGGTGCTACGAGTGTGCTCAGCGCGAATACATTAACTCGGCAGTCTGTTTGTTGTCTGGTCGCCTGCGGCGGAGGAGCTGGAGGAGCCTGTTGTGTTGTGCTGCTGCCCTGACCTGCCTCAAAGCGGCTGTGTGTGCGTGTGTGTGTGTGTGTGTGTGCGCGCCGAGCCCGCCGACTTGTGCACGAGTTTGCTCTTAGGACAGGTGTGCTAATAAAAAGGCGCCTGTCTGTGTTTCGCCCCGAGCGATGCTCCGCGCTGCCGGGACGCGTCCCCGCCTGCGTCTGCTTGCGGCCCCCGTCCCGGGTCGGGTCGGGTTACGGGCTGGACACTGCAGTGCACTGCACCAGGCACCAGCCGGGCACCAGCCGCGGCGACGAGTTTTTTATTTTATTTCTTTTTTCGTTTTGTTTGGTCGCCTCATAGCTCAGAGCACAACTGAGCGCCGCGCTCGGGAGGTCCCTGCCACTTATGCGACGCGGGGTCCTAGATGAAAGGGGAACGGCACCCGGAACCCTGGGACTCTGAGGAGGGCCTGGCGCTGATGGGGGTCTCGCACTCACCGGGGTAGGTGTCGGCGTTGGAGCTGAAGAGCACGCAGAGCCCCGTCTCGTAGTTGACGGCCTGGCACGAGTCGTTGCCCTGGCAGGCCTCCAGGCAGTCGGTAAGCATGAGCGTGCCCGGCAGCGAGTCCAGCAGGTCGTTGGGTGCCGAGAACACGTAGCCCGTGATGAGCTCAAAGCCGATGTTGTCCGGGTCACAATCGCCATCGGGCGCCGATAGTCCGCTGGGCGGCTCCTCGCCGCCGGACGGGCCGCCGGACGAGGTGGGCGCCGACGGGCCCGAGGACGCGACGGCCGCCGCGGCCGCCGGGGCCGCGGGCGCGGATGGCGTCGTGGCTGCGGGCGGCGCCGGCGACGACGTCGGCGCGCTCGGCTCCTGGCGCCCCTTGGTCCGCATGGGGTCGGTGCCGGCGGCGTGCACGGAGACGGCCAGCGCGGCCACCAGCAGCACGGCGAGGGATGTAGGCGCGGCCATCGCTAGACTCACGCACTCACACACTGCACACACACTCGCGATGCACTCGGGCAGGACTGCTACGATCCTGCTGCGCCCTACCGCCCAACCGCTCGCTCGGCCTGGACTCGACTGACTGGTTGCGCCGGGGCCGGGCTGGGCCGGGCTGGGCCGCTCCGCCGTGCACCGCCTCCCCCCGCGGGGCCTCGCAGGACGGCCAGTGCCCCCCTCCACCTGTCGGGGCGCCCCCCCTACCGCCGCGGGGCCCCCGGACCCCCTCACCTTGGCCGTGGCCGTGCTCTTGGCCGTGGCCGTGGGACGGGGACGCCCCGTAAGGCCGCTGCGCTGCGCCGGACGCCGGCCGAGCCGCCGGCCAGGTGGATGGACGGATGACCGGCCGCGCGGTCGCGAGCTGGTTTCGGGTCCTGCAGACCGGGCCGCATCCTCTAGGCCTGCCGCCGTAGGCCGTGAGCCGTAGGCCGTAAGCCGTAGGCCTGCTGCCAGAGTGATTGGCTTAATTGTCGCTGCGGAATGCTGACCGCAATGAAGCGCCGGCGCGCACGTACCCAAAGTACCTGAGAACGGCCGGCCGCGGCCAGCGTGTGGGTTTCGTTTGCCGCTGACGGGCCCATCGCGGCGGGAGGGCTCTCAATCACAGCAAAGAAATGACCCGTTTGCGTACCTGCCGCTGCTGCACGGGCCTGCGTCTGGCTTTGTTGTTTGCTTCACATACGGCGAGTTGAACGCGGCCGCTGCTGCCGCCGCCGCCCCCGCGCCCACCGCTGCCGCCGCGCCCCGCGGTGCGCTACCCGGCCCGGGCGGCGAGAGAGGGCGGGGCGGCCAGTGACACGGCGGTTAAACATTATCTCTTTCCGTGATTGCGGCAACAACTCTGCCGCTTCCACGAATGCAGTTTCACTCTGAAAAATAAAAGTAAGGAAGACTGGTGGCTGTGAGCTACCATTATGTGGACGTGGCCCGGGCCCTCGCGCTGCTGCCGCTGCTGCCGGCGTCGCTGCCGCCGCTGCCGCCACCCTGCTGGGGTCGCCGAGCCGTCGCCTTCCGCAGCTACAAATGCGAAATGTGACACCGTCTGACCGGGGGGGGGGGGGGGGAGGGAGGGAATAGGAAGATCTGCCTCGCGTCCCGCACGGCTCCGTCGCCGAGTCCCGCCAGGCTCACCGCCAGCCTCATGGGGATTAACAGGTGATAATTGAAAAAGGCTGCCATGCGCTGCGCCCTGCTCGGGTTTCGTCCGCGGCGGGCCCCCTCGCCGGTGGTGCTCGACTTTCAGGGGAATCTCCGCCGTCTGGAACCGCACACGCTCATGCACACATACACACACATACACACACACACACACACACACACACACACACACACACACACACACACACGCAAACACACTCACACTCAAACACGCTCGCTCGCGGTCGCTCCCCTACTGCGAAGGTGGGGAATATTATTTTAGAGTGGCAAGCATATCTTTGGGCGTGATTATTATTTTTTTTATTTTTTTAAAGCTTGTATATTCTCTTCAGAGAGAGAGAGAGAGAGAGGTGGGGGAGGGGAGGGGAGGGGAGGTAGGTGTACAGACCGCCCCGCAGCTGTTGTTAATTATGTGTGGGGCCGAGGAAAGTGAGGCCCGTGCATGGCGGTGTCCATTCCACCCGAATGTCCAATAAAGCAGGTGTGTTATTGCCCACTGTGTGTGTGTGTGTGTGTGTGTGTGTGTGGTGCGCTGTGGTGTGCTGGAGGGCTTCGACCTCTCTGACGTGTATTTACCGGTTCCATACATGGCATTGCGCGCGCGGTTCGAAGGGCTAGAGCCCCGCTTTGGCCCGCTGGCCTGCCCGCCTCAATCAGTGTCTAATTAGCAACAATTATGACAGATTCACGTCGTCTTTCTCTCTTGCTCTCTCGCCGCGTCACCCGCTAGCGGGATCGGGATTAGCCGATCGGTGACGAATCTGCGGCCAAGTCTTTCGCCGTATGGGCCCTCCTACTGTGCCGCCCCTAGGCTGCAATGATCACTCGACTGATCGCTTTTCTCTCTTTAGCCCAGGCATTGGAAATCGTTAGAAAAATGGGCAACTTTATCCGATGGGTCGAGTGCAGGCGCGACCGACCTCGTGACACACTGCCGGTATGTGTTGTCGTTGTCATGCATGCGCGGTGGGATATTTTTTTGATACCTACGGGAGCAAGAAAAAAAGCCGTTGTAAAAAGTCGTGGCTGTTGTGTTTGATCACTTTTCCTTCGCTTTTCCATGCCTTGCAGCCTTCTACAGCTCGGTCAGGATCATGGGCAGAGAGAGAGAGAGAGAGAGAGAGAGAGAGAGAGAGAGAGAGAGAGAG